GCGTGCGTTCAACTATAGATAAAATGCATTGTTGGTTATTCTACTATAACATGTATTGCTGGTCATTTTGTTTTAAACTAATATTGTTAGTAATTTTACTATAAATATCTATTTTTGTACTTTAAGAGTGTTTTTTTATATGGGGGTTCACTATTTGGCCATTGCTGGGAAAAACAGCAATAAGCGGTAGTTTCAAGCTCTTCATAACCTTTAATCTCCCGATCAGAGTTCTTGCTGCCGGATGCAGTTTATCGTTATACCCATGACACACAAAGCACTAAATTCTGAGTTTTCTGTAATCATGATGAACGGTTGTATTCCCAAAGAGGCCCCTTGAGCCTGAAGCTCATTCCAGATGTCGAATCGAACTCGTATATTCGATCCATGGGCTAAAGACACAGGGAAAATGGTCGTTTCTCTGTACCGCTCCTCCTACCTCTGTACATGAGACACATTAATGGAGTATTGCTCCCACATATACAGGGGTCACATAAGTTTGCGTAACCATGTGGGCGATAAATTGTTTTCCATTATTCCACCCCTTTTCAAGCAAACAGTTTGCTAGCGTCTCGCTGCTATATAGTTATTTTGATTGCGGGGTTTCGAGTGGACTACATTGCGTGATTCCACCAGTCCGGACGCACATAGCTGAGATCCATTAAGCCAGTTACTCTGAGTCAACTCGTCGTCATTCTCTTTATATACAATTGGTAAAGAGTAAATTCCACTCAGACAGCTTCTTCCCCAGAACTGTTGCAATGGTGAACGAATTCCTAAGAGGATGCTACCCTGATCACTATAATCTTAACCTCTATTATGCATATCCTCATAATATGAAAGCCTTGCTCTCTCTTCTTATACATGCTTATAACATCCACTTTTATTAAATATCTAACTTGAGTGACACTTTGGTCTCAAATTTCACGGTTTTCTTATTTTAATATTGTTATGGTCCAGGTTAGGACCAAGGCAGAACAACACGAACACAAGTGTAGAAATAACGAAGGTATATTACACGAAATAATAATACAAGATGTGGAAGGTGTTAGTATGACTGTCAGTCTGGTTTGGAGTGAACTACTATCGGCTCGACTCGATTCGACTCTCTCTCTTGAGAGGCGTAGTATACATAGTGTTAGGAAGAGTTCATTCTGTATATGTAAGGACCCATGACAAATATTTTGATGAATCTTAATTCTTAAGTTAATGATTGGGTAAGCTCTTGCCGAGTTCGACGATAATAAAATACCCTTATAATTTCCCCTATCGCATCGTTAAATATTTGTGCTTAACCACATTAACACAATATTGCAATAGCAATTATAAATATGGACACTGGTCATTATTTTAAGAAGTGGGTACAAATGAAAAAATTAAACATTTCTATCTTTTCTTTCTTTTATTCATTTTCTTACTGAAACCAAGTCGTGTCTTTTCCCCTATTTCAGCGTGATCGAAACAGAATAGCCCATTAGGTATTAGCAGAACGCAACGGTCGTGCAAACTAAGGGATAGACAAACAGAATTAAAATAGGATTCTCTCTAGTCTTCTGACTATTTTCAGTATTGCCCTCGTCTAGATAACTTCTCTTCTTCGGATTTCGACTTCAATCAACCACTGGGATTAATGCATTTATTCCTAGCGCTAAAACAAAAACTGTTGTTTTCATTTCTTTACTTCTCTAATATGGACCAAACGTGTAGTAAACTTTACATCTTTATTTTTATTTTCCTCTGAGAAATCTACATTCTGACAAGTGATTTTTTTCTTCCGATTCTCACTATGTCCACCTTTTAACTTTTAACTCGATGATAAGCTTAAATCACAAATGGATTTGTGCTTTTCCATATTCCATAAATCAGATTTTGATTTAGTACAGACCACAGACCCTAGTAAAAACCCGAGCAATGTTTACCTATAGATTCAAGATTATAACTAACCAATATTGTCTATAGACTCAAGTATAAATCTGACCAATAAAATACTGAGAAACTAAACTTTAAAACCGATTAATGTTTTCTTATAGTTTTCAGTATAAAACCAACCAGTGTTTACGTACGGTTTCAACTTTAAAACAGACTGATGTTTCCCCATAGACTATAGTATAAAACTGACCAACGTTTACTTAAAAACGCAGCTAACAAATATTTATCTAAAGATATAAACCCGCTCAGTGATTCGACGGTAAGTAAGTTAAAATATGTTGTAGGGAAGTGCTTTAATAGAGGGCGGAAAGAGTGACACTGAAGATCGACACCCAAAGGCTTATTGGGATAGCCAAGGAGGCATTCCAAAAGCTAAGCAAAGTACTAAGAAATAGGAAAAATTCCGCTTGAAAACAAAGAAAAGTGTACTAAACTTCTACGTAATATTTGTCTTCCTGTATGGCAGTCAATGCTGGACGATCTTCTCAAATGAAACAAAAATCCAATCCATTTTTGGATTCTCTTTCCCGAGTCGTCTGGTTCTCTGATAGATCCCTTACTTTTTCACATTCAATAATTGATTATTATTATTATTATTATTATTATTATTGTTGTTGTTGTTGTTGTTGTTCTTGGTGGTGTTGGTGTTGGTGTTGGTGTACCACTTTCGTCTTTATTTTGTCTGAGCCCAGATTCTGTCTTCTGTTGCAAACTTAACAAGCTTTTATTAAAGAAATTACTAAGAGCATCTTAAAATGAAGAATTTATGAGGATTTGTGTAACTTTACCCTAGTATTAAATCTTTACACATAATATTTGCTTCTACGTAGCTTTTTTTTAATGGAAAATAAAGCAAGATATACATGGAGTTAATATAGTTAAATCTGAAAAAGTAAGTTCAAATCGAATTTATTAAGATAGTATATAAAAATATAATCGTACCTCGAGGTGTTCGTTACCAACAGCTAAACGAAGTGGTGTTCGTCCTAGAATATCAGTGTAGTCAATGTTGAAGTTGGTATTCTCTTGCAGGATACGCTGGACTGTTGGAATATCTCCAAATTCAGCAGCATATATAAATTCTTCCTCTAGAGCACTCAGCTGTAACAAAAAAAAATAATTATGATATGATAAGATTCAAATATTGATAGGTAATTATTAAATAAGTTGATGAATGATAATAATAATGATGATAGTTAATGAAATAAAAGGCTGTTCAATTAAGCAAAATAAAATGAAATAAAATAAATAAGGTGGTAAAAATGAAAAGATTTGAAATTAACAACTTTTCACTTGAGCACGCGTTGAACACATCTATCTCGCATTCTTTTTTTCATTCATTTTCTCACTATTGGCAGGGCGTAATAGCCGTGCTAAATAAGGGAGAACAAGCAGAATTCTAATAAGATACTGAAGATCGTAAATTATGGTCATCTTCAATTTTTTTAATCTCAGACCCGGCAATTTGACGGTTCATAGTAATGCCATTTTCTGCAGGGTTTGCACTTGGTGCCTGATACCAACCATTTCCAGTTTACTGTTTAAGGTCCTGCACGAGTGATATCTGCCATGGTGTTATCCATATCTTACCAACGTTCTACGCGAGTGCGAAGAACGTTTTATCAGAGCATTAACGTGTTTAATTTGTTAGATATGAATACTATTATTACTACGTCAGAGAAGGGCGTGATTTAAGAAAAGAAAAAAAAATGGAAGGACAAGACAATGTTCAACAATATTTCGACAGTATATCTGTGTTCTTCAAGATAAGTTTAAAAATTCCATAAAATTATAAAAAAAATACCAGGCTATGTACAAACGTCGCTTACTAAAGAAAAACAGTTTTATTGATAATCAACGTGACAAAGCCAGCGTGGTTGAAATGGAGCTCAAACATTCTCATCTTGAAATGTTCTGTTAGTTGATTAGTAAAAGCAATTAATCAAATAATTTAATATAAATCTTATGGAACTAACCTATCATTTTGTCCATCCATCAGGGTTGGGACGTTAGTAATTTGCATACATAATTATCCTCATGCGTATTATTAATATTTTTATTATTAATCCTAGAATAAACCAATCAAAGCTAATTAACATCAGGTAGAAAGAAAATAAGAAAAGGTAAATTGTGCTTGACATTTTTACAACAGAGATTAAGCATATATTCTATGAATTGATTTCGAAGATAGATAAACCATGAGTAAGAATATAACATGAAAAATAGACCCCCTCCCGCTAAATGTGAGTCCAAAAGAAGCCTTTATAGCGTAGGCAAAATTAATAAAAGCTAGGATAGTCACGACAACCAAATGAGCTCAATAAATAAAGGAAGCTGCTTCGTGTAATTTAAAACTGTCTGAAAATATCCAGGGGATAAAAGATTAGACATGATTTTCTAGAAAATAATCTAAACATTGCCTTTCTGACGAAGTCTGTTTTAACACTATGAGGAAATTATTCTCGGAACCATAAATTATCCCGCATTTGTAAAACAAACAACTGTCGATGAAATCACGGCAGGAAAAACTTGACATGATCAATGTTCATAGTCATAATGTCGAGCCAAATATTAGATTTACCGTCACAAACAGGATAGAGAGAGACATAGTTTTTTTTTCTGTATGTTGTGTCCCTTCAGTATAAATCATAGTCAGGTTTGTCTTTTTGCTAAATCTCCTAAACCTCATTCTACCAACTATTCACACAAACTCGTTGGGTAGATTTTTCTCTGCTTTCCGCTGTACCTTTTTGCTTTCAATACACCCTACGAATATGAATTTCTCCGTTTTTTCTTTCCGCTTTCCTTCTTATGCGAAGGGAGAAATGGCAAAAGTTAATTTTAACGCTTTACGAACTACGGGAATAAGATTGGGTAATAGGAATCTCCAAGAAAAAAATTAGGGCAATTATGAATAGGCGCAGAAATTATATAAAAGAAAACATCAATTAATATGGCAAAAATATGAAGAAAAGTATTGAAATTGAATAGAGAAATCAAAACACATTGTCTCAAGCCACATAGGTATTGTGTAATATATGAAGTCATAGGATATAATTTAATACTAAAGAGGTTTACGGCCATATCACGTTGAAACACCGGTTCTCATACGATCAAAGAAGTTAAGCAACATTGAACCGAATAAGTATCTAGATGGGTGTCCGTTCAGGAATACCAGGTACTGTAAGCTTGAATGTGCTCTAATGGACAACGGCTCGGACTAAGAAATCGGAGAGCCGGGTTCGAATTCCAGTCTGGTTCATTACACTCACTAACGTGCAAATAACATTGGGAAATGTATGAATCCACCTCTTCTCCTCCAAGCTATGGGTTAAATAATAAGACTTGTATAATAAAATTATTATTATCTCCAAAAACTTCTTACGATCCAAAAATATGTTTCAGCTTTAAATAACATTAAAAAAGGGTGATAAGACGTAAAAATAAATAAATAAACATTTAATACTAAGTAAATCTCTTCAAAGCATAAGGATTTCTGAAGGCTATTTTTAATTGATTCTACTCACACGTCATAACTAGATTGAAAATTTTTAAATTATAATTTTTAAAGATTCTTAATGTATTAGTGACATATATTTCTTCATTACTAAGTGTCCACGTTAAAATTCATAATTGATCCCGTCTAAATAGTATTTACTTTTCAAAGTATCGATACACTTGGAAAAAGTACGCCATTACCCCGAAAAATACATTCCATATGTTATTTAAAATTTGACCCGAAATTCTTGATAGTGATTGCATTGACGTCGTATAAGAAGTTTCCGGTTCGGTTTATTTGTTCTCGATTCGTAGCTATACATCCGATTTAAGCCTGACAATTCAAGAGATGGGATTTTGTGAGCTTTTTACCATGTTAAAGCTCGACACATGTGTTAATAATTGACGGTATTAGATCGAGTGTTAAGGGACAATGTTAGAGGTTTATACTAGAGATTTCTGGTTGGTTCAAGTTATGTAGAGTGCACATGGATTGTTCCAAAACACTAGTCATGAAGCATTTCACGAGCTGTTTTATACATTTTCCAACGTTGCGCTGTTAATTGATCTCCGTAAGCGCTCACACTAGTTGTGTGTTGGTTAGGAAGCTGAAAGATAGTTCTGTTAATCAAGAGTACATGTGCAATACAAAAGGATATAAGTAGATGACCATTTGAGTTGGCTTCCCAAAACCATACGGTACCGATTACACGATTCCATACTGATGTATCGCAACCTACACATGCATTGAAATCGCCCAGAAGAAGTTTGTTATTAATGGAAGTACTTCTGAACTGGTTGAGTAATTGAATTCTAAGACCCAATGAAAAGATCTTTAATGTTTCACTTCTTCATTGTTATGATGCAGTTTTGGATGTCCAGTCATTTGCACCAAATGACAGGGACAAAAGCGAGTAAGCAATATTTATGTCACATTTTCTAGACGGATCCTACCTCGTAGTAAAGCAATGCCGTCCAAAAAGGGCTTAGTTTCTTATGAAAGGAGGACACGAGTTACACAATAACAGCATTACATTATACATAACTCTATCTATAAAAGGCAGGATGTGTGTGTGTGTGTGTGTGTGTGTGTGTGTGTGTGTGTGTGTGTGTAACGAATGTACGGCCGCAATTTTCGACGGATTTGCACCAAAATTTACATGCACATGCTCCAAGTTAGCCGGAAGGCCAAGACCGACCTTGCATTTCCCAACTCCCATTGATAGTGGAAATAATCGATTTTTTCATGCTTTTACGGCAGTTTTCATGTAGTTTGCGGCCATTTTGTACTGGCAAAATAGCAGGAAGTTTCTATTGTCCAACCTGAGAGCCAACAGCTGACTGACACGAATGTTAACTAGCATGCTAACATGCAAAAAAAATCGATAGCTGCATTCGTCACAAGTGGGAATAATTTAAATCTGCATGGCACTTTACTCCAATTGGCTCATTTACTTGTTTAAAAACTCAACGTTGATTCTGATTCCGCAGAACTGGGTTAGATGCGAAAAACTATTTATTGTTAACATTCTTTTTTCATTCGGTTTTTCCAGTTACGAGTCCTTTTTTTTTAAAGCTGATCGTTTTGTGTTCATTTTGTTTAGTTCTTTTTTTCGTAACAGATTTAATGTTTAGTATAGAGCTTAGAAAAAATTCGCAATGTGAGATAGGCAAGAAGTAAAACATATAGCAACATCAGCACGGCAAAGGGCACTCCTTTAAAGGCAAGGAAGGGCAAAATATTTTAAGTCAAGTGATAGCGATTGCTGTACGAGTCGTACGATTTTTTTTTGAATCAAGCACGGGCAACGCCGGCCATGCTAATATATATATATATATATATATATATATATATATATATATATATATATATATATATATATATATATATATATATATTTCAAACAAGAAACAGACTGTTGTCACTTGGTATTGACATCTGCGTACAAACTTATGCTCTAGACATTTTAGTTGTTTATAATACAATGTTTTGAATGTCGCGTTCATCAGTTTATTTTTATGGTTCATAATTTATTTAGAAATAGCAATCTGGACGCAGTCTGCTATAGTTTTATAGATGTAAACAGAATAGATAGATAGATAGATAGATAGATAGATAGATAGATAGATAGATAGATATAGCTATCACGATAGATAGAAGGAGTACACAGTCAATGCAGTAATATATATATAGTGTATATATTATAGAATCAATTTAAATTTAATCTGCATTACCTACGAAATAGTTCCCTTGGAAACGTAAACGAAGATGTCAAAACCCTTCCAAGTTTCAAAATCACTGATAAATCTTTAGGTTTACTGTGAGTATCTTCGAGGAGATTCCATATATGATTACAATAATCTAAGCATCGATTCTCATGGATGGGATCACGAACGATTCCCACACTATGTGTTGTTTTGCTGTTGATTGATCGCGCTGAACACTCATCACTTTGACCGAATACACAACTGGGCTTGAAACGCGCGGGTCACTCACACAAGTTCCAAAGAATGTTCTCAAACATCGATTAAATGTTCTCAAAACATTTGATTAAATATATATATATATTATATATATATATATATATATATATATATATATATATATATATATATATGACTTAGCTATCAGATTTATATGGAAACTCAAAGCAGATTTTTGTTGTATCTTCATCTTGTTCTTTCCTCGTGAGTTTCAACGAAAGTTCACTTAACGGATACTATAGTAGTGATTTTCCAAGCGTAGCTTAGATGTGGCACAAGGCCGAAAGTAGGGGGCACCCAATGAGGATCGAACTCCCTACTTAGTCGTAACTGTTCTAGCGAGACAAGCTTTGCTAACCGTTACGCTACCTCGAGGTGCCCAAACGGATACTATAGTATATTTCACACATATATTCTCATATTGACTGTTCAATACTTTCAATATGTTTCCAAAACGTAAAGATGCTCCAGAAGTATATTAACAGAAGTGATACAGATTTGAAAAGCGTAACGCATCACGCCTGTTTACTTCTAATTGTCAATATTAGCTAATCAAAACTCAATTTTAAAAGATTTATTAAACAATGGATATACGGCGAGCGTGAATGCGTGGTCGCACGAGCATGCGCACATGTCATGCTTGAAAGACTCAGCAGATCTTCAAAATTAAAAGATTTACAGACTTCGTGATCAAACTGAAAGTAAAATTCTATTCAGTAATATTGATTGAAAACGTAATATATATTTTTAAGTTATTGAAATCTCTTAAAAGTTTGGACTTAATAAAAAATTGTATGAATTTTGTTAAAACTTTATATAAGACGTTATTTGGTTTGCCTCTTCTTCATTGAAGAGCTTGGAAAAGAAGTCTCTCATAAGAACGATCGCTTTAATTATCTTGAAAGCATTTGACCCGGTGTAACATAGTCGTTGCAACACAAATACTCCAGCTATGTAATTTCTGAAAGATCCTTGTCACTTATCAACTCCTTCCTATCGGGGAGGTCCATTAAAATCGTTGTCACTGTCCAGTTTCCTCTTGCTGTCAGAGTTTCTTTAAAAGTCCAACTAAAGAAAGATTGTACCTAAAACAGGAAACGAACTTGTATCTCTATTACCACCAGGTAAACTGCTTCTATAGCCGAAACGTACCTTTATATATCTAGATTTTTACCAAACGTAAAATGTGCATTCTTTAAATAGATAATTCCAACTTTGCTCTATCAATGCGATCTCAGTGAACAAACTGGTACGGCACGCTTAGGCTGCTGAAACAGGTTCGATTTCGGTCTTAGGCACAGTCTATCTTTAATATGACTTCTCAATCTAGGGCGGTTTTTATAACTTTCCCAGTTGGATAAAATAAACAGAACATGGATAGCAACTCAAATACGTGTACCCACTAAAAATAGGCAAAATAAAATAGTAAAAGGAAGTGGCGTGTATAATTAGTATCGCTCTAGACAAATTATTAAAGATTATTTTGACTTGACGAATATAATGGAATCCTGAGAAGAGGCTAGCAGCAGTATCAAAATGCTTATGATGATTCTAAGATTTTACTTGTTCCCTTATAAGGAAACATTCGACATTTATTGGCTGAACAGTTAGCATTGCTGCCGGTTAAAATTTATAAAATATCTCTTCAAACAGTTTTTTAAAAATAGTTTATCAAATCCAGTAACTGTTATTGCTCTTTCTATTAATGATGGCTAATTCTTTCCTAACCTTTTGTATAAAGCAGGGTGGAATGTTATTTATTTTTTCTTTGAGTTATAATGTTACCTATTTTAGTTGTTGCTGTTTGGGGAAGTCAGCAAATTACGCGGCTTCATTTATTTGGTAAAGTCCCATATTTGTTATTAAGAAACAAGAAAATGTCGTTAGGAATAAACAAGAGAATACTGAACTGGTATACGGCACTGAATGCTGGGCAATTTCATCAGAGTTAAAGAAGAAACTTGAAGCAAAAGAAAATGGCTCTACAGAAGTATGCTGAGAATACAATGGACTGAACAGGCAAGCATGAACAAGTTTTCCAAAACATGGAAACAAAAAGGACACTTATACATAGAATATGAAAGAGACAGTTGAATTTTCTAGGGCATAGAATGAGGAAAGACGGCTTACAAAATTTGACACTCACAGTCAAAGAGAGAGAGGAAAGATGCGCATAAGCTGTTTAATGAGCTTGTTGAAATGATTG